TATTCATTAAATGACTGTTATTAGCATCTGGAGCTAAAATCTCTCTCCGTTTCCAGCACGTCTCCCGCAGCAACATTTGAACACCTGCATAAAACCGCAGCTCTATTCTTCTCTTTCATGCATCGTTAAGCAGCTTGTGAAATACCTCAGGACATTACAGGAAGCTGAATTCAGTTTCACTATCCTCTGCTAGACTCGTTGTGTGAGAAAAGAACCTGTTTGACAACATGAAGTAGGCTTAGCGAGCTTAAGAACCAACGCATCACACTCTGGCCTAAAGAAACTCAACAGGAAACCTGGTCATTTTAAATAAAACAAGGTTTTATTTAAAACCTTGTTTTAAATAAAACAAGGTTTCAAAGCCATTTCCAAGTCTGTGGGTTCCGGCAAACCACAGAGAAATCCATTATCCACTAATGTGGAAAACATGGACCAGTGGTGAGGCGTCCCACCGGGCCGCCCGACTGAAATTACTCCAGAGAGCCCTGCTGACTCACTGAGGAAGTCCAGCCAGCCCAGACTGCAGGGCTGCAACTACCAATTATTGTTCTGACGAGTAATCATATTTAAAAAACTGGCACAGTCTACAGATTTTCCATTTAAATACATTAAAAGATGGAAATAAATCATTTTTGATTAAGAAAATAAATATTTGACCTTGTAAAATGCAATAACATAACTTTCCTTCAGTGCACATGTCAAACTCGAGGCCTGTGGGCCAAATCTGGCCCACCGTAGCTTTTTATGTGGCCCTATAGATCAGATCGAATCAAATCAATGCAGTTTTTATCTGTTTCCTACCAAATCATATCAATCAGTTTCTTGAGAATTCACGCAAAATCAACAAACCTCTGCACCTTTTTTCACTAATGCATTGCTGGGAGTTTATTGCAGATTTCTCTCAAAAATTGTTGAAAACGTTCTTGTACTAAACGGCTGCCTCAGTCTTCATTAATGTCAGGTTATAGTCCACAATCTGTACACCGAGTAATAAAAAGTCGCATTTACCGTCATAAATAAGTGCAAATATTTATAAATTAGTAACACAAACACATTTTCATTGCAAAATGAATCATGAAATCCAGGAGGGACTGAAAAGATGTTCAGTAATATGATTTAATTTTAAGAATTCATTGATATTTTAACAGTTGAACAGGTTTTATCAAAACATTCTGGCCCTTTAAGAGCATTCATGATCCTGATTCGGCCCAAAATGAGTTTGACTCCCTGCTTTAGTGAATTTGAACCGTGTGAAGCTAAAGCGACGCCGCCTGAGGAGTTTTGAGTAAAACATACTCGCAGACAAAGTTTTGTCTTGAAAAGTAAACATTTTATTGTTAACTCCAGGTAAACGCGATGGGTGAGGAGGACGAGAACCGGCCGGAGGACTACAGTGTCTACAGAGTGTACATCCCAGAGGAAGAGCTGGCAAACCGAGACGGGGAGGCAGACAAGGGAGACTCCGCCGATGTTCCTCAGGATCTGTGCTACCCAGAAACCAACAGGATATTCATTGCGGGAGACGGCAGCGAATGCGACTTGGACTCTGCTGAGGATCTGAGTTTCGGGGGCCTCAGAGCGTTCCGGCGAAGACTGTCTGAGCCGAAAATCAGCCGCGGCAGAGGGAAAGGCAGGGGGAGGGGATTCAAGAAGCGAAAGTGGGGATCGTCCCAAGAGAAAAGGTCGCCGACCTTAGCTCACCGTCAGGATCTGTGGTACGCCGCCGCTGCTGGACTGGGAGGGGGCTTTGCCCTGGACTTCAGCCAGGAGGATCTGAAGACCGCAGCAAATTATTTTGTTGATTTCCCCCGGTTGGACTTCGCTTTGGGCAGCGTTCACGGTGAAAAGGTCTCCCCCATGAATCAGTTCTCCCTGGAAGAGTCTGGCGCCGGCGAAGGGAGTTCTGGGTTGAACGCTGTCGGCACAAACGAAGGAGGGGACGAGTCCGTCGCCGTGGTGGGCTCCACTTCCAGCGTGACGGGGCCTGTAATCTGCGAGCACTGTGGCCTCACTTTCCCCTCAGCACACTCCCTGGCCATCCACTCCCGCTCCACCCACCTGCTGTACGTCTGCCCCTGCTGCGGGAAGCACTTCCACCACTCCAGCAACCTCACCCGACACATGGCCGTGCACCGAGGGGCCGCCAAGGCCCACCAGTGCCCCCTGTGCTACAAGACGTTCACCCAGAAGTCCACGTTGATAGACCACATGAACCTCCACAGCGGGGAGCGGCCGCATCGATGCGCCTACTGCCACGCCCGCTTCGCCCACAAGCCCGCCTTACGACGCCACCTGAAGGAGCAGCACGGGAAAACCACGGGGCAGAACTCCCTGCACGAGCAGGAGGAGCGGGAGAGGGCGAGAGAAACTGCAGTAAGAGAGCCGGAGGAAGAACAGGAATGCCTAGTTACTGAACAAACGGAGCAAGTGTCATGAGCAAAAACATGTTCCATGTTCTGTTAAACCCAAACTTCAGTGTGTTTTATCAGGGTCTTTTTGTGACGGGCCAACACAAGGTGGCGTACAATTGTGAGGTAGAAGGAAAAATTCCACTTTTTACAAATGAAAAGATGAATTATGTGGCATGCGTAGATTCTAGCAAGGGCTGGACAATACATCAATAACAATATATATTGTGAAAGACGTGATTGATATCAATAGAAAATATGTCTGATAGAATAGTCAATAATTTTACTGAACTCATATCCAGAACCACATGGCATTCTGGGGGACGGAAAGAGGAAAGCTAAGCCAGCTAGGCTAGGTTGGCGACTTCAACTAACTCACTCACTCACTCACTCACTCTTTGGTTACCTAGCAACAGCGTGTTGCTAGGTAATTTAAGATTTCACCACGGTGCCTCATAACTGCTTAAAAATTCAAAACTGAGGTGTGGAGTGAAACTTTGGCTAAAATAGGAAAAAAAAATGCCATCAGTTCAAACTAATCAATAATTATTGATATCGACTGATATGAATTAAACACGTATCATTAGACGTTTTTCAGCCATATCGCCCAGCTCCGGTAGAATTTCTACCGGCCAATCAGAGAACAGAAGAAGTTGCGAACGATGACGTAGATTTTTCTGCTTATAGTTTTAGCCATGGCAGCGCTGGAAGTGGCCGAAGCCGTTCAGTGCGTGTTGGCCGAGCTTCAAAAATACTTGATTAATATTAACAGCCGTTTTATTCGGCTTTGCACTTCGCTCTTTACAGTGCAGGATCAAGCTAGGGCATGACGTACGTCACGGCCGAACGTTAGCGTTGGGTAAAATGTAAAACTTCAAGAGACAAAGCGTCGAGAAAGGGGCTTGTTTTTATGAAGCTGGTACATTTATATTCATATGTTTGTATTATTTTAGGGCTGAACTATATAGCCTAAAATCAATGTTATTATATATTAACCAGTTAATTAACTGCTCATCTCCCTCCTCGACCACCGCCTCGGTTTCCACATTTGACATTTTCTCAACCTCACCGTCTCTCTCGCTTCTTCTGGTTGGGGTGGAGTCACGTGACTGCTGAATGTACACGTAGCGCGGCGTCTTAAAGGAACACGAGCATAGCCTACTAAAAAGATACGTTTTTTTTTAACCCTGGTGTTTACAAATGGGATCCAACCGATCCCACACCCATATCACTTGTATCAGTTGCCTCAGTCCTCGCATACACAAGGGATAAAAAAAGAAAATACCGAGATGTGCAAAATGGCGTCGGTCATTGTTATGAATTTCGGTGTTAATTTTATGGTTTATCGCCTTGGCCAATCGTTGTTGGATGCTCACCGTCCAATCTTACTGAGCTTGAACAATTTTGCTTACAAAAACGGGCATATTTCTCCTTTTTGAGTCATTCAAAGATATGGAGACACATTCCAGATTTCCATTGAAACGTCCTGCTTTGTGTTGGTTTATTACATCAAAATCTCCTAAAATACACAGAGATTTATGGTTTTAACTTTAATGTGAAAATGGTTCAAGGGAAATGAATTGTGAAGCCTTCATGCTCATCGGTTTACCGCAGTCTGCTGGATCTGCTTTTCAAAGGGTCATGGTGACGTTACTGATCTTTTAAAGTGCTAAAAATATTAAAATGCCTTCATATGTTTACTGCCAAACCACGTGTCTAGTGTGAAGATAAATGGACAGTAAACAAGCAATATAAATGGTATTTTCTGGTTGTAGCTAGTAGCTGTTAAACTGCATCTGAGTAAACTGTACCAGTGGATATTATGTGAAACTCCCTGAAGCCAAAGACGATTATTCTACCAGTACTTTTTTTTAACATATCTGAAATTGTTGTGAACTATTTTCTCTTTTGGCTTTGAGTGAGATATTTTGTAATGTGTCATGTAACAAAAAATGAGAGAAAATTACTAACATGTCTTGTTTTTAATGTAGATATTTGTACTGTAACGATAAATTAGTGATTCTCCTCTCAAACTGTTCATCTGCTGCACACAGAAGGTTGATTAAAACGCATCAATGATCCGAATATTGGTTTGAAACGAGGAGAGCTGCACAGGTAATAAAATTTGAGAGCACTCAGGAAGGATTTAAGTTTGGTTATTTTCACAGGGAATGCAGGACGCTTATTTATTTTGAAGATTGGTAGTTCAGTTTAAAAAAAAAAAAGTAAGGTTTGATGTGTAGCATTTAAGCCCAATTGTCAAAATAAATGCAACATAAAATACTGCTTTCGGTTGCAGAGTTGAAAGAAAACAAGACTGCATCTTAATTATTTTTACATTGTATATCTATTTAAAACCGTTTTAAAATTTTTAATTTTCAGACTTATTTCTTCATGATTTATGGCAGATTTTTCTCAAACGGTCCGACTTTAAAAGAAGAGGATGAGATTTTATTCCGACTGAAAATTTGTTCTACTCATTCCTCCATCCTTCTGTCAAATTCCTAATAAAGCCGTGAAGTTTTATATTTCCACTTTTAAAAATGAAGAGTTCAGGATTTTGCCAGGAAAGATATGCAGAAACCTTAGAAATCCCAGTTTTATGGAATTCTACTTGAGAATGTGATTTATTCAATTCAACAAAAAAAAAAAAAAAAAAAAAAACATTCCCAAAAAAAAGGCCAGCTTCTCACTAAAAAGAAAAAAACAAAACTTCTTTTATTCCAGGAAGTCTTCACTGTAGACCACTTGGTTCCTCTTATCCCTGTACGAGCCTTTGGTGCTGTTCTGCACAGCTGGAAGAGTTAAAAAAGGAAAGAAATGACGGGTTGACCTTCAGAAACAGACGTCTCGGTGAACAAGAGAAGAAGAGTTTACCGAGGGAGGCCCACACTGATTTTCCGGTGGCAGCGTCCAGCATGGGCTGCTTCCTGGCAATGCTGACTCTAATATGAACGTCTCCCACCACAGCTCCATTCAACTGTCCGAAAAAAAAACACAAACAGGCAAAATAATCAACAGTTTGATGGAAACATTTAACCTGAAGACAAAGATTTAGACATTCTGCGTTTCAACCTTTACTTTTTAATAGAAGTAAATTTGGAAAAATTATGTTTTTGTGTTTGCTGCTAATGGAAAAGAGACAAGTTTCAACATACAGACACAACATTGATTTAGTTTAGGGACATTGTTATGCCTCATTGTTTCACAGATCAGATTTAAGTTACATTAAACTTGGGTTTTATCAATTAATACAGTATTTGGGTTTTAAGATTTTATTTTTGAAAAATAGTTTTTTTTCCTCCACCAAATCTTTCTTTGGTTTTCTATAGTTAAGTGTGATGTCTGCTTTTCTCTCCGCTGAAAAAAAGCAGAGATTTCCCCCGCTTACCTAAAACGCAACTTATCATTAAAAGTAGTCAAGTAATGGACTGAAAATAAGTGGAAAGCCTCCATAAAATGTAAAAATAGCAAAGTACCTACCTCAGCTACAGCCTGGTCTGCAGACTCCATCTTCTCAAACGTGATAAATGCACAACTGCAAAGATAAGCAGGAGGAAGAGTTCAAGTGTTCATGTAACAAGGAGAATGCATCAGAACGTCAGGATAATGCTTAGCAGAGTACCGGTTCCGTACTTGCGCGGGTTGTCCATTGAGAGGTCGATGAGGTTCCCATGCTGGGAGAAGGCAGAGCGCAGGCTGTCCTCCACCAGGCCGGAGCCGTAAACGTACACCGTGTTCCCCTTACGCACACCTCTGCGCTCCGGGTACGAGTCCGATCCTAAAAGGAAAAAACAAACAAGAATCAAAACCACACTTTTCAGTAATCCATCTGCATTTTTTCTAATTTCAGTTTATCTATAAACTGAGTACATGATGAGGCTTTGTGAAAAATTTGTGTTAGTTGGTTTTAATGCTTTCAATGTGTAATAAAATATTTTAAAAGGTAAATAAATAAAAACCACCTATGAAGGTCTACTTACTTCTGAAAGGTGTGTCTCTGTCTCTGTCTCGCTCCCTGTCCTGGTCTCTGTCTCTCTCTCTGCTTCGTTCTCTGTGTCTTTCTCGTTCCCGTTCTCGTTCTCTTTCCCTGTCTCTGTCTCTGTCCCGGCCTCTTTCTCTATCCCGTTCCCGTTCCCGGTCTCTGTCTCTTTCCCACTCCCTGTCTATGTCTCTGTCCCTTTCTCGGTCCACGTCACGGCTGGACGACATGCCGCCTCCTTCTTCTTCATCCCGGTATCGGTCGCTTGAACTAACGAAGCTGCAGGGACACAAAGACACTCAGTCAGACCCCCAGAGGGACACTTTTAGAGGATGGGTTCAGGTTCGGGTTTTCACCTTTCATACAGACTCTTCATTTGACCTCTCTTTCCAGACTAGAACAAATGACACAAAGAAACTTCAGAATAGAAAGCAAAATATATATATAAATAAAATAAAATCTCATTTATACCTCATGTGGATCATCATCTGTAGAGACACTCCTTTGGAAGGGTAAGAAGGCAGGAGCCGGACCTTTTTCTGGGTCCTGATGAAGTGGAACAATAAAAGAAGAAGGCAGGAAGAAAAAGAGATAAGCTGCATGTTCCTTTATCAAAACCAATTAATGTACAGATTAGTTGGGCTGAAATGATTAATTGATCAGCTATTGAAATAATTGTCAACTAAATTAGTAATTGATTAATCATTAATTGGAATATGCAAATTCAAATAAGGCAAGTAATTAAGGAGTAATTAAGCCAAAACTGTAAAAAAATAAATAAAAAACTTGTAATTGTCTGTAAATCTGTTTTAACCTGAACTCCTTAACTGTCAGTTTTAGTTTCACCTGTTTCTGATTTACTGCATTTTAGGCAGTAAAATAAAATGCATATTTTCTTATTTAAAAACTATACATTTTTTAATTTGGATTTTTTCATGTATTTCTAAGATTATATAAAAAGGCTTAAGTGGTTGAATGAAAAATCTGTGGGTGGTGCCATTTTTTAATCCAATTAATTAATTAATCCTCAAGATAATCTGTAGATTAAATCGATTACTGAAATAACCACTAAGTCGTATTACACACAATGCCTCATTTACTACACAGAACTGAGGAATACTATTTACTCAGATCATCAAACTAATTTAAATAACAGACAATAGTAATCAAAGTGGGAAAAAAAAAAAAACTGAGGAAACCTGTGTTTTCTGGGGTCCAAATTATTTTCCACTGCCCTGTATTTAATGATACAGTACCTTAAGTTTGATTTCTAGCATTCGGGAGCGTTTGAAGCCGGAGTTCTTGGTCTCTGATTTAATGGCACTGATGGCTCCTGACTTGATGAGCATTTTAGCTTGCTCTGTCGCTGTTGCGGTATCAACAACAGGCTGATCCGACAGCGCTGCAAAACAAAGTAGTGAAATATTTAAAATAAAATCCAACCAAGTGTTTACATAAATAAATGCTGATTGATTAGCGTTAAAAATATAAATTTTCTCTGGTTTATCTCAGCACTTGACTAAACACAATCAAAGCAAAAAAAAAAAACAAAAAAAAGGGTATCCTAGATAAGAGGCAGTTCAACAAATGTGTATTTTATAAGCTTGCTTAGGTTGTGTCATAATGGCTTGCTGTTATTGTCACAGTTCTTAAAATGATCATATTTTGCATTAATTCAACCTAGTCTTACTTATACATATATTTATTTTTGTTTTATATCTGTACATGTAAAATATCTTCAAAGATAGCAAAGTGGAGCTAACGTCAAATTCCTTGTTTTTGTGCAAAAACCTTGACTAGTAATAAATTTAGTTATAAATATATATTTTTTAAAATCAATCAAAAGCACTTACTCCTTTTCAAGCCACTCTGGTTTGTTTGGTTGGTTGAACTCTGCTTCTTCAGTGCAAGGAGAGCCTTTTTCTGAAATTACAGCAGTTAAAACACTTAGTAGCTGTTGACTGATGTTGCAGCAGCACACCCTGTTAGCAACTTCACAAGAACCACAAGAAAACCTGACAAATCTATAGATTACTTCTTACTGCGCTGTTGATACACTGAAATTTCCCCAAAAAGGGAAAAATAAATAGTTTCATTTTATTTTATGCTATTCTATTCATTCACTCATCCACAAACATTATTAATATTAAGTATGAATCATTTCAGCCTCTTGTAGAGCAAAATTAGGTGAGCATTTGAGCCTTTAAGCAATATTTATCATGGTAACGGACCACTGCGATATAAACGGAAACAATTCAAACCAGGAGATTACCTTTTTCTTAAGTTTAGCATACTTCTTCTGTAGAGACTCCTCTTCCTCCGTTAGTGAGTTCGGAAACAACACCATGACAGCACTAAAGGAAGCAAAAAAGGCAAAAAGGAGCATTAATAAAACAGAGCTTTTATTTTCAACCACCGTTAGCCGTCTAATTTAACAAGCCAGAAACGGCAGGGTAGCTGCTTTCCAGAGACTACAAGTGGTAAACAAAACAGCAAATAGCAAAAACAGAGTTGCTCTATTAATGCAGCCCAAAACATGAATTATTTTATTCTAAAATAGTATTCGTAATAACTCACCAACCTTCTCTGGAATTCAAACGGCTCAAACAAAAACACCGACGCGTAGATATTACGTAAGCACGTATTTTATTTCTTTTTTTAAAAAATATATATAAACAAAATATACTTATAATTATTGTTGCATATTACCAAATTCATGAAATATATTCTTATATGTATTTTTTTTTGCACATTTTTATTTTGTTATTTATTATTTTTTGTGCGTTAGCTTCAAGTGCTAGCTACTTCCGCTTTGGAGTTCCGGGCAACTTCCGCAGCGACAGCAGGGCAGGACAGAGCTTCATGGTGGCAAGTTTCAGTCTGTTGATGAAAGACCATGGACAGAATACGTACGTTGTGCTTTAGCGGAAGATAAGCATATCCTTTAAATATTCCTAAATAACTTAAATGTTTTACAGTTTGCTTTCTTGCATGCGGAGCTAGTGAAGGTTTCAGTTAAACTATTACTTCAATCTACACCAGATCATACAGTTAACTTTGCTGATCTAATGTCTGTAGCAGGATCTGTTTTCTTGCTGCACTTCATCTGTTAAAGTCTCATAGATCGATTTTTCTAACTACCTGCGGTTTACATGTGTGAATAAAGCTTTGATGGTTTCTGTAGTGTGGTTTGTGTGCACGGTAGAAAATTAGAGCCACTGGAGGAAAAAAATAAATAACATTAATACCATAATTCTTAAAAAAAAGAAAAGAAAGAAAAAAGTCTGAATTTTTAGTGTAATCTTAGAGTTCTGACTGTTTTCCCCGTCAGAATTGTAACTTTAATCTCAGCATTCAGAAAAAAAAAAATCTGATGTTAATCTCAGGAATAGGAGAAAAAGTCAGAATGAGATTAACCGCCTGGAGATTGTATAGGTTTTTTTGTTTTGTTTTGTTTTGTTTTTTACATATCCAAAGATCTATTTATTTTCTTTTCAGCCAGTATTGTTTTTTCACGACCCACCTCTTTTGGAAATGCAACTTCTACTTTGTGAATTTTTTCAACTCTTCTGACGTTAATCTCAGAAATAGGAGAAAATAGTCAGAATGAGTAGAACTAACTGAAGAGTCTTCTTCTTTGAATTAAAGCCAGAATTCAAAATTTAATTATGAGATTACAGTTGTAATTTTTTAAAGACTCTAATCCTCTACCAACTATGTGTCTGTTAAAGAGCGTCTGTGTTGTTTTGAGTGCAGATGTGCCCCCTGTCGGCCCCATGGACCTGCCGCTGTCCCTGCTGGAGATGGGGCGCTCAGGAAGGTTTGAGCTCATCACATATCTGCCTGACCAGCCTTTACCTCCCCAGAGCACGGTCAGTACAGGGCAGGTTTACTGTTTAAAATAATAAAATCAAAGCTTGACACATCTAACGCAACTGTTTTCTGATGTTCCTCTTCTTTTAATTGAAATCTTTACCAAATCGCCCATAACAACAAAATTCCACCCTGCCTATTTCAGAAGAGAGATTTGTACTGGGGGGAAAGCATATATAGTATAATATGACTATTTTATATTACCTGTGAAAGAAGATCAAGCATTTCTCCTGCCTGCTGCGGACCACTGTTAAGCTGGATATTTGTTTTATCTGATGTAGAATTACCAGCATGTCAAGTAAAAAAAAACTGACTGTTAGTGTTGCTGCTCCAGGACCTAAACAAGTTATCAAAATCAATTCCATTTCTCTACAGAAAAAAAATTGGAGGAGAAATATCGACTATCAGTTTGTGACTTTGAGTTTGAGTGAACTTGTATTATGCTGCTGCAGGACAATAATACAGTACATGACCAGGAAGAAAGTTTTGGATTAGCCAAAGACTTGAACCTGATTGAGATGTGATGGCAGGCCCTAAACCAGGCTGTTTGTGCCCGTAAACCCTCCAGTATAGCTGAATTAAAACAAGTCAGGATTAAAATTTCTCCATAAAATTGTAAAATTCCTACTATCAGTTATCGAAAACGCTTGACTGAAGTTGCTGTCGCCAAACTGCATGTTATGTTTATGGGGAAATTACAGTTTCACACAAGGTCAGGTTGGTTTGGATAATGTTTTTCCCTTAATGAAGGAAATTATCAGAAATTTCTTTACTCTAACTATATAATACAATGAAATATTTTAAGTGTTGCAAAAAAGCAAAATCTTAAGAAATTTCACAGCACGGCAGAAGTTATCATTTTAACTTTGCATTATTTTGCTCCTATTGTCTTTGAATAAATGTTGTATTTTGCTATTTTTGTCTGATATCACTCATCTCTCCTCCAGATTAATTTAATCTAAGACTGGACAATAAATCAATAACAACATATACTATCATGGTAGACATTAATAGTTAACATATCAGAACAGAATATTTCATAAGTTCACTGAACTCCGATCTGGAACCGCAAAGCTTTCTGTGAGGAGGTTGAGAAGCTTTAGCTTTAGCTTTAGCTTCTCAACCTCACAGTTTGGTGGAATCAACTGACTCACTCGCTCTTTGGTTACCTAGCAACTCACTCATTCTGTGGTTACCTAGCAACAACCTGCTGAGTAACTTGTGCAGCTACAGTTTAAAGTTCCGCCACTTTTTAATTTTCTTAACTGCTAAAAAATTAAAAACAACAGCATGAAGAGATAAAACAGGAAAGGTTATGCCACCAGTTTGACAGTATTTTAGATATTTAAAGCAAAAAAAATAAAATAAAAAATAATCAATGTAAACCAATATGAAACACTAATATTGTGAAATGTTTTTCGGCCTTATAGTCCAGTCCATATCTTATTGATTAATAAATGGGGGAAAAACCATAATATTTCTGATCTTATCCCTTCCTCCACAGCTTCCCCATGGACTCCCACCCACCAGCCTGGGCCTGGAGAGAGAAGTGGAGAAACGGTTTCTATTGGACCCGGCCTGGCTGCCCATCCATGACACAGACTTTGCCTTCCAGAAGTTTCTCAAGTATACCACAATGTTTATTATCTTGATGTCATTATTGAAAGCCCATTATGAACACACAAGACTTATCATTTCACTAATAAGAGATGAACAATCACCATCATTCTGTGTTTTTCTCCCCAGGGTGACTGAAAGGAAGGTTAACGTCGACTCTTTGCTCAGCTGCGCCCCGTCTCCGCTTCACTCTGGGCTCTCGGTCGTCAGAGATCCAACCACAGGGATGCTGCTGGACTTCACAGAGGTGACGCTTTCTCTTCTTTAAACCAATAAACCACTCAATCTCTGCAGAACTGTTGTGTAAAACAGTTTTGTTACACTGTGAGACGGAGTTGTTTAAACAAACTCCGTCTCACTAAATAAACCAATATCTGTATTTTTTTTGCCTTGTTTTTTAGGTTTTGCTTGAAAACACTGGCCTGTCGGCCAAAAACTCGCTGTCACTGCAGCGTCAACCTGGGCCTCCTTCTGAAAGCCTTCGGGGAAGCAACACTAACTACCCCTTCCTTCCTGGTGAGAGATATTGATATATTGATCCAGAACTTCCTTCCTGCTGTGATTTGTGGGCAGGATCGTCCAGAGGTTTTAAACTCGTCTCTAATTCCTTTATGCTCTGATCCGAGCAGAGTTTCTTGCAATCTGGTGGTAAAATATTTCTAATATTTCTTTCAGCATGTCATGACAGCTATGATACTGTCATATAGCAACAACCTTCAGTCAGAGGCTTTTTCAGATTCGTTGCAAGACTGACCCCTATTGCAGACGCCTGCCGTGAAACTGTCCCAGAAATTATTGCAATAAATGATAGTGTTGTTGTTGTGAGGCCATTTTAAAGTAATACATTGATAAATGCATAATAATGTAAGTTTGTCCTCTCAAAGATTAACATAGTTAAAATTTTGTAAAGAACACTTAACACTAGAACTCGATGACATTTTAAATATGAAAATAAAACTCAATAACCGAACATAAATAAAATGTGAAATAAAAAAACACACACAACCGAAACCATGAATGAAATTTATAATAAAATCTCTTTGGGCAAAACTTCCCTTGAAAAATTATAATCACAATGAAAAGCATCAAGATAATTTAAATTTATTATGTGATTAATTGATTGATTAATTGCTTATTGCGACAGGCTTACTACTGGAAATCTTTCCTTTCCACAGCATCATCATCTATAAAGACCCTTTATGATATGAGTTACAGCAATATGTAATTTCCATTTTGGTTAAATAAAGTATTATTTCACTGAACTGAATTAAATTGAACAAACAAGACTTTTATACAGAAAGTTAAAAAACTGTAAAGATTTTGCTATATAATTTGGGCTAACTTTATCAACCAATCTTACAATAGGTTTTAAAGTAAAACATATTTTGGTAAAGTCTAAATAAGGTAAAAGAAAAATGTTAACCTTAAAATAGAGCTTGCAGAACTGCTGGTTGAAGCCACTTGAAACATTTACTAGAAGGTCTGGATCCTTTGAAGCACAATATTAAGAAAATAAATTATTTAGTAGAGTTTTGCCTAAAGCAGCTGATCAATCTTTAATTATTGATTTTTCACAGGAGGAATGGAGGAACTCACTCTGGACCAAATTAAGACGAGATCTGAGCAGGAGGAGGAAATAGACTTTGAGAAAGGTTGTTTTTTTTTCAGTTTTGAGAGTATAAGTTTGTAAATCACCGCCACAAAGGAAACGTTATTTCATGTTATTGTTTACCTCAGATTTACTGAAAATCCCTCCTGGACTCAAAGCTGGCATGGATTTCTCTGACAAAGGTTTGGTTCAAGACATTTAAAAAGTATATAAATTTGCTCTTAAAACTTTGAGATAATTTATTAACTGGTTCCTGCTTTTTGTATTTGCTCTGTGAAGATGCCAAAATAGCAAAACCAGAGGTGAACCTCATGTCTCTGCTGTCCACACTGGAGAACATTCCTGATCTTCTGCCTGAAGCAGAGGAGAAGGAAGATGGCAAAACAGGAGAAGAGGCCGTCAAACTTCCCAGGACTAACAGCCTGGAAGACCTGGGAATAAAGGTGTTTCTTTTAATACCACCACTACTACTGCTATTGTTACTACTACTAAAACTAGCCTGGAGGACCTGGACATCAAGATCTGCTATTTAATTG